TTTCAGACTCGTCCCGATGTTTCAGACTCGTTTGATGTTTTCAGACTCGATGTTTCAGACTCGTTCTGATGTTTCAGACTCGTCCGATGTTTCAGACTCGTCCCGATGTTTCAGACTCGTTCTGATGTTTCAGACTCGTCCCGATGTTTCAGACTCGTTCTGATGTTTCAGACTCGTCCCGATGTTTCAGAGTTTCTGTTTTGGTCAAACAAACTGAATGTTTCAGGTTTTATATTTGAGTTTGAGTCTGAGTCCGGCTGCAGTTCCCTCGCGCTCCTGCAGGCGGCGCCTCCACAAACAAACTTTTCCTGAAACTTTTTTCCGAACACACCCAGTGACGTCACCGCGCACACCGCCGCCAGTCTGCGCCGAACAGACCCGAGACCGAAGCACGAAGTCCCCAAAAGACCGAGACCAAGATCTGGGACGAACCCGGGACTCAACCAGGTCTAAGCGAGGACTGCACCGGGACCAGACCCGGACTGAACCAAGACTAAACCCGGACTAAACCAGGTCTGAACCAGGACTAACCCAGGACTTGGAAAAGGGGCAAAAGGAGCGGAGGAAAAGCTCAAGTCCCGCGCGCAGCCCCGAGTCCGGACCTGAGGATCACGGCGGAGTTTGGACCAAACCAGAACTAAACCAGAACTAAACCAGGACTAAACCAGGACCATGTCGGTCTCAGAGGAACCCGACGGAGCGCGCCCCCGATACGGCTGTGAGTGCACGCACACACACACACACACACACACACACCTATCCGCGGCCCACGCACGCGCGCTGCAGCACGCACGGGACTTCCGCGTTTGAGAGAAAAGCGCATCAGGCGCGCGTGCCAAACCCGGTGCCAAAAACAGCTCCAAAAAAAAAAAACTGCCCCGAAAACTGACGCACACGGAAAGAACTCACCCAGACCCAGACCAGGTTTAGACCGGGTCTGGTCCAGGTTTAGACCGGGTCTGGTCCAGGTCTGGTCCAGGTTTTATAAACGCCGTGGGAAAGTTTGCAAAGTTTGTGGAGGGGCGTGATTCAGAGACTGAATGAAAAAGAACTGAACCAGGTCCAAACCAGGTCCACATCAGGACTAGACCAGGACTAGACCAGGACTAAACCAGGACTAAACCAGGACTAAACCAGGTCTGAACCAGGACTAAACCAGGTCTGAACCAGGACTAAACCAGGTCTGAACCAGGACTAAACCAGGTCTGAACCAGGACTCAGGTGCGGGTTTAAGATGGTGTTGATGATTGTTTTGGAAACGTTTTTATGTCTCACGTTTTGGAGCATCACAGGATCAAGAGAGAGAGAGAGAGAGAGAGAGAGAGAGAGAGAGAGAGAGAGAGAGAGAGAGAGAGAGAGAGAGAGAGAGAGAGAGAGAGAGAGAGAGAGAGAGAGAGAGAGAGAGAGAGAGAGAGAGAGGAGAGAGAGAGAGGAGAGAGAGAGAGAGAGAGAGAGAGGAGAGAGAGAGAGAGAGAGAGAGAGAGAGAGAGAGAGAGAGAGAGAGAGAGAGAGAGAGAGAGAGAGAGAGAGAGAGAGAGAGAGAGAGAGAGAGAGAGAGAGAGAGAGAGAGAGAGAGAGAGAGAGAGAGAGAGAGAGAGAGAGAGAGAGAGAGAGAGAGAGAGGAGAGAGAGAGAGAGAGAGAGAGAGAGAGAGAGAGAGAGAGAGAGAGAGAGAGAGAGAGAGAGAGAGAGAGAGAGAGAGAGAGAGAGAGAGAGAGGAGGAGAGAGAGAGAGAGAGAGAGAGGAGAGAGAGAGAGAGAGAGAGAGAGAGAGAGAGAGAGAGAGAGAGAGAGAGAGAGAGAGAGAGAGAGAGAGAGAGAGAGAGAGAGAGAGAGAGAGAGAGAGAGAGAGAGAGAGAGAGAGAGAGAGAGAGAGAGAGAGGAGAGAGAGAGAGAGAGAGAGAGGAGAGAGAGAGAGAGAGAGAGAGAGAGAGAGAGAGAGAGAGAGAGAGAGAGAGAGAGAGAGAGAGAGAGAGAGAGAGAGAGAGAGAGAGAGAGAGAGAGAGAGAGAGAGAGAGAGAGAGAGAGAGAGAGAGAGAGAGAGAGAGAGGAGGAGGAGGAGAGGTGAGATAAGAGAGAAAGAGGAGAGAGAGAGAAGTAGAGGTGGGGGGGAGTTGGGCGTTGGTGGGTGAGGCGGAGGGGGACAGAGGGAGGAGGTGGAGGTGGGCGGGGCTGAGGTGGAGGTGGGCGGGGCTGAGGTGGAGGTGGGCGGGGCTGAGGTGCTCTGTCATAACTGTAATTACAAAATACAATAATCCACGTTTCCAAACTGAGAAACCTGCAGGAAAACCCGACCAGGATCAGGATCAGGACCAGGACCAGGATCAGGACCAGGACCAGGATCAGGACCAGGACCAGGACCAGGATCAGGATCAGGATCAGGACCAGGATCAGGATCAGGATCAGGACCAGGATCAGGATCAGGACCAGGATCAGGATCAGGACTAGAACAGGACATAGAACCCGGTTTCGACCCGGTTTAGACCCAGTTTCAACCTGGTT